CAGTTTGGATTTCTCTAATCTTGCCTCACGTCTAGACTTAGGTTATTAATTCCGCCTCCCCCAAGGAATACCACAGAAGTGATGTTGTGTCCTCAGTGCATCACATCAAGAAACACATGGTATTATTTGTCCCATTACTGGTGATGTTTGGTTAAGGTGGTATCTTCCAGGTTTCTATGCGATATAATTATAATTCTCATTTATAATTAATGTCATTAATAATTGATTATAATTAATTAATAAATAATAACTAGTCTGTGGGGAGATACTTTACACAGATAAACTATTTTATATTAAATTTTCACTCAATAGTTTAAATATACATTGATGATTCTTGCCTGAATTGGTTGTTAAAATGATGGTTACAATGTGGGTTTTCTAATTCTATCATTCATCTGTGTATGGTAATTTACATTTCATTGTAAGCAAAAATTTTTCCTTCTTCCTTATTTAGTTAGTACCAGTATAGACTCATGGATCACTATTTTCTTCAATAGATTTAATTCACTAGGATCATTATTTGTTCCGATGCTCAGGTTGTCCCAGATTTCACAATAGATTTCCTTCAAGTGGATTCTTTTTATGTAAACTTACTCTTTGAGTACTTTTTTACTTCCTGGCACAAGGCCATCTTATACCTTCCCTTCCCTTAGAATCAACCATTTCTTCAAGGAACTTTGGTTCCTTTTAATGGGGAGTAGTACTTCGAAACCAAGATCTGAGCACAAGATGGGCTCACTGCTGCTGAACACCCTTGCTTCTAGGCTTTCAGAGTGGACAAAATCAGAAAGAGTAATAATTTCATATGGTTCAGCTCTCACTCATGTTAACTATGTAAAGTTATGAATTCATACTGCTACCTCTAGAACCAGATCCAACTCACAGAACTTTCCTTATCTTTCCTCATTCTCACAACCCATGCATCCCCACCCTGGGAGAATCCCAGGAGAATCCTGATTCCTAAACAGTGAAATAACAGTAACATTTGCTCAGTGTTACCATATACAAAATAGTGTCAGGGATTCCTGCACCTGTTCTGTTATGGAGAAACAAACCTATGGTACAGAGCCCAAGATCTCTTTGCTCCCCTTTACCCACGTCACCCTCCCCCATTATGAGCACACAATGGAATATACAGATGCCAAGTTATAATGTACATCTGAAAATTATATAATTGTATTAACCAATGTTACCCCAATAAACTTAATTTAAAATAAATAAATATAAAGTCTCTTGTAAAAAAAAAATTCTTTGTTTCTCATTTGTTTCTGTTCCCTTTCTATTTAGTTTTTCCCCCAGCTTTATTGAATTAGTTATTGTTTTGAGTACGTAAGATTATTTTGTGTGCGTGTGTGTGGTGAGAACATTTAAGATCTACTCATTTGGTAACTTTCAAGTATACAATACAGCATTGTTAACTATGGCCATGTGCTGTACATTAGATCTTCAAAACTGATTCATCTAAAACCGGACTTTGTACCCTTGGACCACTGTCATCCTTGTCCCCCAACCTCCAACCCATTTCCTTTTATTTCTTCATCAGAATCTCCTTTACCCATCATGTTAAGGCCAAATCCGCGCCCTGCCCCCCTCCAAAAAAAAGCAACTGAATTGTGACTGAGCTTCCACTGAAAGAAAATGTGCCATAATTGCAGCTCCTCCATGAAAATGGGTCATGCAATCAAGTTCTGGTTCTGCTAATTTGGCAGATGTTACCACACATGGTGAATTGGAAAAGACGCATGCTTTTGGTGACACAGTCATCACATGGGGATGTAGATACTTCCCAACAAGACTTGATGAGGATTAAGTATAAGTATCTTGCATTCAGCAGTGCTGGCATGCAATAGGCTCTCAGCAGTGTTAATTCCCTTTCCTTCTTTGGTCAGTATATGGACAGGAAACCAAATTTTATGGCGTACCCAGGGTCTCTTGCCGCATAACAGGAAAATGGAAGAGGTAGAATTAAAACCCGAGTCTGATCCCAGAGACTGGACTGTTCTCCCTGCCATCTCTTCCAGGGCTCCCACACTCTGCAACCTAGAAGGAGGCTGGCTCAGGTTGAGACTGAGTTGAAACCCAAATCCCTGGGTGGTGGTGAACACTGGCTACCATACTGGATTTGAGGAGTGATATCTCCTGAAAATGGAGTAATGTCAGATAAAGAGAAAGGTAGGAATGCCTTCATGTCAGAATTGAAAGGGCTCTTAGCAATTGTGCATTTCTAAACCTGATTTCACAGATGAGGAAACTGGGCTTCAGAAAGCTTATACCATTTGCCCTTGGTCACACAGCTAAGACTGAATCAGGACATTGGGTCAAAGTCGGCTTTACTATTCCATCAGTGTTTAATCTCTTTTTAATCTGATTGTTTGAGTTTCACCTTTCATTTTGGTTGCATATCCTCAGGCCTTGGGCAATCTTTGGCCCCTCTCCATTCCTGTACCCTCGGTCCTTCTCAACTCTATTCCAATCTTAACTCAGCCCGGTGAATGTTTGCTTACTCACTGGCTGCAAATATTTGTAGCACCTCAGAATTTGAACTTCTAGTTTCTATACCCATTTCTGGTTTTCGCAACCATTTTCCTAGTGTTACTTCTATTTGAAAACCATGCCTAATGCCTATCTCTAAGGAGCTATGATCATTACATTTGGATTTGTAAATCAAGACTCAAAAACTGTTTATTTGCTTGCAGAAATGAGGGGCTGTATCTTATTATTCTAATTAATTTTACTAACCTTCGATTCCAGAGAGCCCAACACAATTCCTGGTGTTGCAGAGATGCTCAATAAGTGCTTGTGGAACTTCAAGTAACTACCATGATTATACTTATAACAATAGCTACCATTGTGTGCTAAGTGTGGGTCTAGCCCTCCTTGTACATAATCTCTTATGAGGCAGGTGCTAGGATTAGCCCATTTTACAGATCTGGCTACTGATGCTTATAGTGGTTAAATGACTTTTCAAGTTCATTCAGTTGGTAATTAAAAGAGTTGTAATTAAGCTATTGCTATAATATTTGGTCTAATGAAAAGAGTTCGAAACTAGAAGGGTTCTGTACTGGTTCTGCCACCAATTCATTTATCATTTTTGTTTAGACACTCCACCTTCCTAAACCTCAGTTTTCTCACCTGAGAAATGTGGTGGTTACATTCACTAAATTCTCACCGACGTACTTTTCAGTGTCTATACACCACCACCAAGTACCTCTAATGCCATGACTTAGCTCTTCAAAATCTTGGCTATCAAAAGAGGGAAACTATTGTCCATTCGACTTTTTAATAAAAATTTAAATTATATCACAATAGCTAACTACAGTAATTCTTACAAATCATTATATCCAACACAAATCATTATATTTGTTTAGTGTGAAATTAAAGTTGTAAATAAGCATAGATAATATTAAATGCCTTGCCTATGTTTAGTTCACCGTTTTCCACAGCTCACTATAACCTGAGTTTTGGTTTAGGCTGAAGGGATATTTCTTGCAATTCACTTAGAATATCTTCACTTCCAGTCAAGATCTTTATACCTCTGACCAGTTTCTTATTTAAAAACTCACGGATAGACATCCTTCTCTACTAGTGGAGCAATTCCAAAACTGTATTTTGTGGGTTAATAATAAGTATTACAAACACCTCTCTTATCATCAGATAAGTGTAGGAAATTGTGGTATGAAGAGGTTTCTTCGCCTCAAAGCTTTGGAGGGCCTTTAACTTGCTAATGTGTGTTGAAATTCTGTAAGACGTACTGTAAGCTGTAACAACTTGTTTGAGTTGTTCCCAAACTTATTTTAGCATAGAACACTGAGGACAGGGGCAGGAGGTGGGAGTGGGGCTGAGGGGAAGAATGGGGTGAAGCACACATCTCATGAACTAAGGTTCTACAGAATAACTTCTGTTATATCCTAAGTTAGAAGCTTCCTTCCAGTCTTGGCTCTTTTCCCTGAAGACAAACTACCTTTAGTGTGTGTGTGTGTGTGTGTGTGTGTGTGTGTGTGTGTGTGTGTGTGTGTGTGTGTGTGTATGCACGTGTGCATGTGTATGTGTGTTTAATGGGAAATTTTTAAAGATATTTGTGTATGTACAGTTCTAATCAGTAGAAACTTTCTGAAACTCCACATAGAAGCTGAAAGAGAAAAGTAAGATTTCTGACCAGTATATTACAGGCATTCTAGCCCACCTACCAATCATTATCTATCTCTTAAGAATATTATTAGGTTTTAGCTTCCTTATGAGCTTGCTTCCACATAACTCCAAAGAAGCAAGTGTAGATTTGAAGTATGACGTGAGAACTATTGATATGCCATTTACTTTTTTAAAAAAACTTAAATGAAACTTTTGTTTAAAAAAAAAAACCTAAATGAGACAGTACAGACCACTTTCTAGCCAAACCCTAAAGTACTTCAGGAATCTCACTGGTGTTTCATAAAGGTGATGTGGGGTTAGAGCCATTTTCCTCGTCTAAGAATGGTGAACATGGGAGGTCAGGCAGGAAGTCTGAATTCACTGAGAACCATTGGCACTGTGACCCTGGGCTCCAAGCCTGGAATAACTATTAGTGTGGCTGAGGACATAGGCTTATAGGGAGATGCTAGGGGAGATGGTAGAACATACCAGTCCGCAGATTCTGATTCTGGTGAAGTCGGGGATACAAACTAGAATCCAGTCATGACCTCCTAGGAGCCTTGACCCAAGTGTTTATTATGATTTCTTGGGAAAACGGTTAGGAAACTTAAATTTGCTCACAGGTACACATAAATACGAGATTGCTCAGGGTCTAAGGTTACAAACATTGGCAAATTCCATCCAAAGTACTGACTCAGGGAAATCCACATTTAGATTTCAAGGAGATAGAATAGGGCATTGTATTTCAAATCCTGGTCACCGTTTTAGATTGTGATTAAAAACTACTCAAGCTGGTCTTACAGAGCTCTATATAAGCAGCCCATCACCTCAGCTCTATATACTGATCTGTCCTGGGTCTTGTTCCCTACAGAATGGGTCTGCTCCTACCTCTGGTGCTCTGCTCCCTGGCCACATTCTACACAGTGGAATCTCTGCCCCAGGAGGCCCTCAGCCTCTTGCCTCTCCTCTCCCGTGGCTGCAACGACTCAGACGTGCTGGCAGTGGCAGGCTTCGCCCTGCAGGATGTGAATAGTAACCGAAAAGACGGCTATGTGCTGAGCCTCAACCGAGTGAGCGATGTCCGAGAACACAGACAGGCAAGTGACAGTCCCCTATCTGAGACAGCTGTTTGCACAAGCTGCAGAGGACAGCCAGGGAATGGGAACCCAGGGGCAAATGTTGGTGGTGCTTTGCAAACTGGAAACCTGTTGAGAATGCTTTGCTCCCCTCTACTAGGGTGAGCTATGAGCCCTTATTGTTGCTAGGATCAAGTCTTAATAGTATCCTACTCTGACACTTGTCCAGTGTCCCACAGTTTATAAGAAATCATCAAAAACATTACAGCCTTTGGCTCAGCCATAAACCAGAGAATTTTTTGGTCAGTCTTTAGGGGTTTCTGCTTCATGTGGGATGTGGCACATTTCTCCACTCCTTCCCGCAGGATGGTCTGGGGTCTGTGTTCTATCTCACACTGGACGTTTTAGAAACTGACTGCCATGTGCTCAGCAAGAAGGCGTGGAAGGGCTGTGAGGCGAGGAGCTTTTATAAATCGGTAAGTGCTCATGTCCAGGAGCTCTAACGGAGAAACTAGATGTCTGTCTACAGAGTAAAAATTTTTCAATGTGTGCCGTCTTTTACATGTCCTTTATACTCGTTCTCTTGGGCATGGTGCCCGGGGTGGTTATTTCAATTTCAAAGTGGAATTTAATCAGAGGAATTTCTGAGAGTCTCATTGGAATTATGACCCCAGAATTGAAAAGTTGCCCCCAATTTTTTTTACTTTTAAGACCCTCCTATAGGTTCTGAGTCATTGTTTAAATTGTGAGAAAAAGATCTGTGGTGTAGCTCTCTGGATGTGTTTGAGGAAGACTATAGAAATAATGAAGGGAGAGCTTTCTTATTTGTTTTATTTTGTCTTATTTCATTTTAATGAACACCAGTATTAAGTTTGAGGCTGGGGAGAGGAAGGGCTTACATGGCATGGGAGCTCTCAGAGGTGCCATAGAAGGAATTCCTGGAATCGTAGAACCTAAAGGACCTCAGAACTGATCCTTTTAAAGATGACCGTTGAAGAGTCTTGAAAATAATATAGTCAGATTTCATTTGATTCTCAATTATCCTGAGTTATTTCCCTTAATTGATATGAAACTTTATGAGTATAGAATTGTTCAGAAGTAAACTATCTGATCAAGATGTTTTTTCTAATCATTTAACCAAATTTGTCAAACTGCACCTATCTGATCTTAAAAAAAAATCTTTTTACCCTGTCATGAATTATATTTGTTAAGGTGACACTAGCTGCTATAACATATACTCTAAAAAGTGTATACTGATTCCAACATGATTGAAATTTATTTCTCACTTATGTAAAATTCAAAATGAAAATTCCTGATCAAGAGAGGAGTTTTCTCCAGGAGTGACTTGGAGACCTAGGTTTTTCCACTCTGTGGCTCTAGACTCTGCCACCTTCAACTCATGCTTTCTATGGTCACCATACTCATCTGATCAAGCCGTAGAAAGAGAAGGAGCATGGAGGATAGATTGCACATGGGAGATCTTCATGGGCCAGACTTGGAAGTGATTACAATCACTTCTGCTCACCTTCTTGTGGTTAGAACTCAGTATACACAGTCATGCCTAACTGGGAATAAAGCTGGGAAATGTAGTCTAGCTGTGTCCCAGGAGAAGGTTAGATTGCTTGATAATCAACTGGTAGTTTCTCACATTGAAAGGCACCAAAATTGACCAAAATTTTTAAATTATTTAAAAATAAAATGTCCAATTTCATTTGGAGGTATTTTAAAAACTTTGTTTCACCATCTCATAAAATGTGTTTGTTGATTCCAGGTTTATGGTCAATGCAAAGCAATATTTTACATTAACAAGCCAAGAAGAGTTCTCTATTTGCCTGCTTATAACTGTATTCTTCGCCCAGGTAAGAGAGTACTCTGATTTTATTAATTTTAATAAAAGATGGAAAAAGAGTAGTAAGTAGGGCTATGCTCAGAATGTATAGGGTTCTCCCATTCTACTTCCTATTCATACCAAGGCCAGGTTCTTAATATATCCAATACTTGCCTCCCCAGCAAAATTCCATTTGCACTGCTCTTCTTTCCACATCACCTGCAAAAGTTTATTCTTGAGTATTGCATTAAATCCTAAATTTTTAGTCTGACATAAATGACTTCATCTCTACATTAGTTCCCACTCCCTTTCTAGGTATCTCTGCTATTACTTCCCTGATGACACCAACTCTACGCTTCATCCAATTGGATGCCTCACTATTTTCTGAACACACATTGAACTTTTTCCAGTCTCTGCAACTTGCTTGTCCCTTTCCCTCCACTGAGGATGACTTCCCCTGATACCCTCTGCCCTTGGAACTCATATTCATTCTTTAAAGACCAGTTCTGCTTTTCTCACAATGTTCTCTATTCAGGAAAGGAACAAGCTTTCTTGTTCTCATTCCTATAAAACTGTAACCTAACTATTCATGGAGTATAGACCATGCACTGCCTTGATTTGAAGTCTCATATCTTATTTCATGCAGAATATTTTATCCCTTCTTTCTTGCTTTAACCCTCTCCCAGTTCCTATCAGGTATAGAGTCTACAATATTGTTGAATAAATGAGTAAATGGACTAAGAATGATGCTGCAACTAATGACATTTCAAATATGCCTGTGCATTCATTCTGGGTCCTTCTTTGGAAAGCAAGCATCCAACACATGGGAAAATAGGATATGGCTACTTGTCAACCTGTTATGTGCTTGTGTCTCCCCTGGTGGATCTTGGTCAAGATTCTGATTACGTGGATCTGGGGCAGGCCCTACGAGTCTGCATTTGTAACAAGCTCCAGGTCATAACAATGCTGCTAGTTACTTTGAGGGACAAGGCAGCAGAGCAAATATTTTATTAGCCACGGTTTCCTGGTTGGGAAGATGAAACTTACTTGAATAAATTAGAGAACAACAGCTAATAAAACAGATCAGGACTCAAATGAAATTCATAGATACCGGAGGTGTGGGAGATCAGGAAGTGACACATGGGAATGATGTTGTGGGGAGTGACAAGCTGTAGATATAACTCCATCATAGTACACCCAAATACACTCACCTAAACACACAGTTGATAAAAAAAAGTGTATTTACTCTGCAAAAACAACTTGCAGACAAGTTCTCTAGCCTGAATTTTACACTAGTTTTGCCACCCCCAGCTCCTCCCAGTCAGAAATTCTAGCTGTACTATTAGAGTGATTAGTCTATGCAGTTACACAGTGATCTGATGAATTTTTGCTTTCTGGCTCACTTGCATTTTCTAACCAGAGAGGGTGTAATTCCACCTTCTATGTTATTCTCTCATTCATTCATTCAACCATCATTTTCTAAGCACTTACCATGTATTATATATTATCTTAGGTGTTGGGGACTAAAAGGTGAATAAGACATGACAATAATGAAATCCCAACCTTTTAAGACACTCACCTGCTTAACAGAGGCAATGATGATGGAAGATATCAAGCTACTAATTAGGATAAAAGTTTTTATATCATTATAAACACACATACTATGTGTTTTTGAACAAAATTCCTAGGATAAATTTGTGTCAGGTAAAAAAATCTTGCTTTGACTTTTTTGTAAATTATGAAAGTAATACATGCTCATTGCAGAAAACTCACTACTGGCAGCTAAGTTTCATTCCAGACAATGCCATTCTTGCTGAAAGTGAGTATTATCTTTAGTTTCTCAATCTCTGCTTCTGTTGTGGTCATACAATATAGGATTAAAACTCATGAATGAGTTTCGTTTTTAAACTGCTCTCTTTGACACCAACAGTTTCTCGAAGAAAGATTCACAGAATGTGCCCCGACTGCCCTAGCCCTGATGACTTGTCAAATCCCAGAGTCCTGGAAGCTGCCACTGAGTCTCTTGCGAAGTACAATAATGAGAACACCTTGAAACAGTATGCTCTCTTCAAAGTCACCAAGGCTTCTAGCCAGGTGAGGTCGAAATGCCCAGTTATACCACCAAAGTGTCTCATGGCTGTTGCTATCGATTTCTAAACTGAGAGGAGAATGTTAAGGTACTTTTTTGATTAAAACTCAAAAGCCTTTCCTCACTCCCTACTTTGGTAGACCTGATGCACATTCAATCATGTTTCAGTTTCTGAGTTATTCCATGGTATTTCCTTTTGTTATGGGATTCGATTTTACTTCATTGTCCTTAAGGCAACAATAGAAATGAATTCATAGAAATGAATTCTACATAGGTTCACTATTTACTGCTAAATCCTCTTATCAAATTGACTACGGATCTTTTAGCAAGTCAATTTCTGCTCTATGTTAAGGCCTGGAGTAGATGTTCAATTTTATGGGTTAGAGGAAGTGGAAGCTCATTTGTATTTGAATTATGTTAATATCCATTATATAAAGAAAAGCTAATAGAAAAACTAATCTAAAAACAAATCTACATGAGGAAAAATAAACTCGTCTGAGTGAAGCTTTTTAGAACCCATTCAAGTCATTAAGAAGGGAAGAAAGGTATGCTGGTTATATTTTCTAAATAACAAAATCATAACACATGGTTTGATCACGATAGGAAGTATAGAGGCAACAGGAGACCTGTATTGATAATGACTCTGAGATGTATAGTTTCTGTGAATATAATGCTGCCAAACCTCAGTCATTTCTCTACATGGAGAGGTTTGATTTCTGTTAATCAACTCTTGTCTCATACCAGTGGGTATTTGGCCCTGCCACCTTTGTGGAATATTTAATCAAAGAGTCACCATGTACCAAATCCGAGGCCAGCAGCTGTGCACTTCAGCTCACTGACTCTGTGGTGAGTATTCCTGAATATCTTCATAATTAAATATTTGTATTCACAGGTCATCGATATGTATTTATTGAAAATAAATTATACATGAGGTGTTGTAATGCACAAGATACTTTTCTTCCTCTCAAGGAGAAACTGACTAGTTAGAGATTGTGCTGGCCCAGGTGCAATAATATTTTATTGTAAGTGCAATTTTCATCAACAGTGTTATGCCTTTGCAGAAAATGATCATAGGAGACTAGAAAATCGCTTCTCGGCCCTTTGGCTAAGATCAAGTGTAGAAGGCTGTAAAATATAGACAAATCTCAGTGGTTGGTGATGGTCCTGCTTTTATCTGAACAAATCCAGTTGCATTTGGAAGACAGCATGGTGTTCCGTTCCTTGGACCACTCTTTAAGAAGGAACGCCAAACAGGCCATCTTTCAAAAGATGTATCCAGGATGGGGAGGGTGTCTTGAAACCTTCTGAAACACACCTGATGGTAATGCCAATTGGCACAATGTGTTGTAACACAATTAGGCAAAATGCATTCAAAGCCTTTTCTCCACTTAGTTACTTGTTTGCAACAACAACTTTATAAAGATATAATTCACACACCGTAAAATTCACCCTTTTAAGGTATACGATTTACTGGCTTTTTTTTTTTTTTTTTTTTTACTGATATATACACAAAGTTGTGCCACCATCACCAGTGTCTAATTTTAGAATATTTTCATCAGCCCCAAAAGAAACCATATAGCCATTAGCAGTCATTCTCCTTGCCTCCTCATCCAAGCCCCTGGAAACCTACTTACTATCTTTATGCCTTTGCCTTTTTCTGAACATTTTATACAATGAAATCATACCGTATGTGGCTTTTTGATTCTGTCTTCTTTCATTTAGCATGATGTTTTTAAGGTTTATCTATGTCATGGCATGTATAAGTGCTTCATTTCTTTTAATGGTCAAATAATATTTCATTAAATTATACAATGTGTTGTTTATCTATTCATCAGTTGATGGATATTTGAGTTACATCCTCATTTGAGCTATTGTGGATAATGCTGCTATGAACATCTATGTACAAGTTTTTATGTATATATGTTTTCATTTCTCTTGGGTATATACCTTGGAGTGGAATTGTTGGGTCAAGAACTCTATGATTTCCCTTTTGACTAACTGCCAATCTATTTTCCAAAGTTACTGTACCAGTTTTACAATCCCATCAAAAATATATGAGAGTTTCAATTTTTCCAGTTATTTGCCAATACTTATTATGTTTTTTTTTATTATAGCCATCTTACTGAATATGAAGTGGTATTGAATTTTGCTTATTATTTTCATTTTCCTCGTGGGTAGTTGTGTTGAACATCTTTCAATGTGCTTATTGGCCATTTGAATATATTCTTTGGAGAAATGTCTATTCAAATCCTTTGCCCATTTTAAAATTGTACTATTTATCTTTTTATTGTTGAATCGTAACTGTTTTTTACATATTCTAGATACAATCCTCTCATTGGATATATGATTTTCTTCTATTCTCTGGGTTATCTGTTCATATTCTTCATGATGTTCTTTGAAGTACAAAATTTTTGATTTTGATGAAGTCTTATTTATATATTTTTTCTTTTTTTTTTGATGTGTTTTTGATGTCATATCTAAAAAACATTGCCTAATCCGAGATCACTACAATTTACTTCTATGTATTCCTCTAAGAGTTTTATAGTTTTAGCTCTTATATTTAAGTCTATGACCCATTTTGAGTTAAGTTTTGTTTATGATGTGAGGTAGGAGGTTCAACTTCTTTCTTTTGCATGTGGATATACAGTGGCCCCAGCTTATTTGATGTGTGTCTTTGCATATAAAGTGTGTCTCTCAAAAGCCTTTTGTAAACTGTTAATCATATAGTCTCAATTTTCTTAAGCAATAATTTGGAAAACATCTTCACCTTATTTTGTGGGATTTTTCTTTCTCACTTGTCAATGACACCTTGGGCAGATCCCATAGCTTTCTGGTTATTTTTAATAAGAAGAATAATTTCACTTAGAAAATTAAAATTTGCTTTCAGGTATGAAAAAATTCCATTTAGTCAATTCTGAATCAAAACTTCTATCTTGTACACAATACAATGCTTTTCCTTCTCTGTAGCTCAAGCCTTACCTGGAGCTTAATAATAAATGTGAGGAAGGTGTCAAGATCTGTTCTTTCACTCTTTCTCCCCATCCTGCAATCTTTTGCTTAATTCTGTATCTTCCAAGTTCCAAGAAGAATGATAGGATTAGGGAAAAGAGTACAAAGTCTTACATAACTGAACCTGCAGTCATAGTTTTCTCTTGGTCTATACTTGCCCTCTATGAGACAGGCTCCAGGCTGATTTTCTCAGGTGGTACAGGTGTGAATTCATCCAGAGGTCTTGTCTTAGTAGGATAATGTTTTCTCTAGCTGACTCTTGGAACCACCCCTTTTTGGATTCACCTCCCAGATTTTTACTATTAAATGCCTCATAGCTATCTGGAATTCCCTTGGGTGGGCACCTCCGTACTACCTACGACACTTGCTTGTCCTATGGAACCCTCACACATTATTACTATGGTAAATAGTGGAAATGGGCTTCTCTTTGCTGCCCTTTCTCCTTACTCTACCACAGTAGGCTGCTTTTTCCAAGATTCTGCTCTTAGAATGCTCTGAGTGAGAAGTGTATCCCAATCTCCATAGTCCATATGTCTCTAAACTCTAGGGTTCACATGTTAAGCATATTCTCGAACTCTCTCTTTGTAGTCCACTCTAGTTTCAGCAGTATATAGCTTCAATGTTTAAACAAAACAAATGGGATTCAATCTTGTGTGTGACAAAAGAGAACTTGTTAAATAACACAGAGGAATATTAGATAGCCATTATAAAGATGATAGAAGACTATTCAATGCTATAAAAGAATAGTCACAATATAATTTTAAGTGACAAAAGAGAATTAGAAAATTATATGTATAATCCTATTTTTCTAAAAGAAAATACATATATATACATAGGAAAAAAGATTAGAAGAAAAGAAATTAAATCATTTTGGGAAACAGGTATCTTTCATGCAATTACAAGTCTTTTTAAAAAAAATCCAGATTCTAAAAAACTATTACACTTTAATAAGAATGTAATAAGAAAACAAAATTATTTTATTTTTTAAATAAAAAGAAGCTGAAGGAGCTGAGAGTGGTTTCATCTGAGAAGAGTAAACTCAGATGGAATGTACATAAAGGGTTGCTATATGAGAATTGAAGACCCAAAGGTAGAAGTAAGGCCAAGAGGTAGATGTTCTATAGACGCAGATTTCTGCTAAATATAAAGAATTTTCTTATAGGATTTGTTCCTCAAGAAGTCTTGAGTTTCCCATCACTGGAGGCAATTTAGCCTTGTTCGGCTGATTACTTGTAGGAATGATCTAGATAGAATCAGCTCAGAGCCTGCCTATTTTGTGGTAATACCATAGAAATATTGATTGGCTATGTGTTCACATAAGCAGAAAGCAAGTTGATTTCTATTTACAATTATTGATAGTGTAATACTCAAACAACATTTTATCCTCTCTCTCTGTTTTTTTGTTTGTTTGTTTGTTTATTTTAGCCCGTTGGTCTTTGCAAAGGTTCTCTGAGTCAAAGCTATTCAGAAAAGTTCGTCTCGGTGACTTGTGACTTTTTTGAATCACAGGTATTTTTCATTCTAATTGTCTTCCTGAGAAGAAAAAAACAGATTATTTGCATTTTAGCTGCCCCAACCCCACCCTCTCCTTTTATTTTCCTCAGATCCCTGATCACCACTTTACTTAGGCTGCCCTGAGGTCACACCCACAGGATAGCTGGTTAAAGATCTGTTACTTTTAGTTTTAGTCACAATGTGGTCCTGCAGAATAAACAAGACCCCTTCAGAAACAGGGATTTACTAGTCTGGATGGTTCAGGCCTCTGAGACAATAAATTCGGTCTCCCAAAGACCCTTACCCTGAACCATAGGGAGAAGCTGTTTTCATGGAAATATCCAGTCCCTTTCTAGAAGTATTTATTTAGCACTTACTATGCGACAGCCTGGTATAGTTGAAAGAGTGATTAAGACAGGCCACTTGGGTTCCAGTCCTGCTCTGCCACCTGCAAGCCATGTGACCATGGGCAAGTTCTTATCTCTGTGAGTCATGGTTGCCTTATCTATGAATAGAGTTGTGACACCTACCTCATTCAGATCCCTTTGAGAAATAAGTGAGAAGAGCTGGATAAAGGGCACTGTATTCAGCCTGGCACATTATAAAAGGTGGCTGCTGCTGCTTCTATTGCGAGGAGCAGGGAGACAGCTCACTGGGGCCTTTAATAAGCCATTTACCCTTTCTGGACCATTGTCCATTTATGAATCTGTGAGACTTGCAGTCAAGCTTCTACAGGTCTTGGTTCCCCCTGGCCCTTACCTGTTGTGCTTTATAACCCTTTACCCAGAGGCCCATACCTCTAGCTGGTCCCCCTTTGAAACATTCCATCAGGAAGGAACAGAATAGCTTAGTGTGGTACCAGGCACGGCAGGGATTTCCTGGGGGGACATTTCTTTATCGAAAGCGTTCTTATTTCAGGCTCCCACCCCTGGAGAAGAAAACTCTGCTGATAACCAGGGACCTGCAAACCTACCCAAGGCGGAAGAGCCCCAGCAGATAAACACAGCCCCTACCGACTCACCCTCCAAAGCCATGCCAAAAGGATCTGTCCAATACCTCCTTGACTTGGATGATGAGAAGCCCGAAGGTTCTCAGGAAAAAGGCCCTGTGGAGGCCTTCCCTGTGCAGCTAGATCTAACCACGAATCCCCAGGGAGAAACCCTTGATGTCTCCTTCCTCTTCCTGGGGCCTATGAAGGAGAAGCTGGTTGTCCTGCCTTTCCCGAAGGAAGAAAAACGCTCTGCCAAGTGCCCAGGACCAGCCCAGAGGGACGACCCTCTTGTTCTCCCACCATAAGAACTACATAGCGAATTCCATGGGGATGCAGTGCCCTCCACACCATGAGAAGTGGTGGGGAAGGGAGATGAAGAGTTTGATTGTAGAGAATAGTTGATAAAGTGTGTCTTTTTTACTCTTCTTGGTCTCATCATGTTGGCTAGAAGTGAAAATGGGACTAAATCCTCCACTTATACACTAGGTTGTATGCCTTCTATATTAGCCCAGGTCTCGTTCCATGGATAAATTCCTCTCACGTCTTTTACCTCTCCTTTTCTAATGGTTACTGACTTTTAACTAAGCGTCTCTGATATAGGGCCTGCCATCCTTAGGCATGTCCTCCTCTTTATGGACAAGAGCAGACTATGACTCTTTTGATCAAAATGAGATGGAAATTGAAGGATACCAAGAGACTGGGATTCATCGTAGAGTTTCACTTCCTTTATTCCATAATTATTTCAACATCAAGTATTAATCTGATATTGTCTGCAGAGCCTTCAACGTGAAGGTGGATTTTTTTTCTTACCTGTCTGAATAGGCTCCAAGCCCAGAACTTGATAAATTCACTTAGCAATGGGGGTGGATGGAAGAGACAGTGCCTGTGGCCTGCATCTGAGACTGGGAGGAATCAGCCATCGTTCTAACCAAGGGAGCTTTCTAGCTTCTTTAATAGTTTTGCTCAGAGAAGAAATTAGGAGCCCAGATAATATTCATTCCTAATTTTTTCACTTAAAAAAGTACAAATGTATACAGCATATATGTAATATTATGTATGTGATATGTATATTATGTATATATACATATATACACACAAACATTTGTAATACATACCAATATATACACACATATATCTTTTGAAATATGACAGGTGTTATGGGCTGAATTGTGACCACCTAAATTTATGTACTGAAGTCCTAAACCTCAGGACCTCAGAACATGAGTGTATTTGGATACGGGATATTTAAAGAGGTAAGTAAGTAAAATAAAGTCATTAGGGTGGGCCCTCATCCAATATGACTGGTGTCCGCATAAGAAGAGGTGATTAGTACACAGATGAGCACAGAGCGAAGACCACGTGGGGACACAGAGAGAGGGTGGCCATCTATAAGCCAAGGAGAGAGGCCTCAGAAGAAACCAATCCTGCAACACCTTGATTTCAAACTTGTAGCCTCCAGAATTGTGAGAAAAATGAATTTCTGTTGTTTAAGACACCCAGTTTGTGGCACTATGTTATGATGCCACAAACTAATACCACAGAGAACATAGGGAATTTATGAGTATAACCATTATCCTCCATTCTAGTAGCTGTTTTTAGAAGAGGCACATAGACCGTAACATAATTTGCTTAAGAGCTGTAGACAACATTTACACCATATTACTCTTATCTGCTTCCTGTAAGAAGGAAAAATAATTAAGTGGGGTGTCATGTGGAATCTTAAATCCTGTTTCAATCAATGTCTGGCAGGAAACACAATTTTACTCAGATAGTTTGACTGAAAAGACTTTAGTGAAGGTAATGAAGCCTTGTAGGCCTAGTTAAGGGAACAAGGATGCTGAGGCACCTGGAGAATAGCAAGAAGGCTTTATCACTCTTTATCGCTCGGCCTGAGAAGGCTGAAGGAGGGGCCTTAACCAAGCCCAGCGTGAGCTGGACCTACTGGAGGAGAGGCCTGCCACCTGGCAGGAAACTGCCCTAGTGGAGAGATGCAGTCACTGCCAGATCCAAGTGCTGAAGCACAAATGAGCAGGGAATGAACACTTTGACCTCTCCCTTTTTCCATCCCTTCAATGTCCTCCTCTCATTGGCTCTTTAACCCAGTAGTAAACTAGCCAGGAGGGGAGCCTGGGTTACTCGATTCACAGTAGTCTGCCTCTTGAGACAGGAAGAGAAAGGCAAAGAATAAACCTGGGGAGGGGGGTGCAAATGAGATAACCATTGTGAGTCCCATGTAGGGGATTTCCCAAAGGTGTTCCTACACTAAAAAAAGGGCAAGAAAGGACCCTAGATTTGTGTCTTCTTTGTGTTTCTTTTGGATGGACAAGGGCACCATCAACAGAGATAGAGGATGCAGGAGAAAAAGCCAATTTGATGAAGTTGTTGAGTTAACTTTATTAAATTCAAAGAAAGCATTGCCATTCACATTTACATAGTCTTTTTGAGCCCCTGGCTACTTTTTCAAGTATCTGTCAATGCTGACTCTTGCTCTCTCTTCAAACTTTCTGGAGAGGACATTGTCCCACATTCTCCAGATCCTTCTCTACCCTTCCAATGATTTCCCCTAAGGTTTCGGGTTCCTTGTGGACTCATCTCTTAGATGCTGTTTCTCTAGCTTTGGATCCTTGATCTTCTTTTCTCACTCTGCAAACTCCATACAGGCAAGCTAATCCTATAGTCTTGCCAATAGACTCACATGCTGTAATCATTAACCACTTGAAGTCCTTGTATGCAAATAATCAGTGGCTTACAAATTGCTAACATTAATTTTCTATGTTAAAACTTTAAGAGTCGGGCATTTCAAGTTACGTGGTAGTAAGAGTTCTCTTTGATGAATCTTTAAAAGTAACTTCTTCAACAATCAGAAGATGAACAACCCAATTTAAAAATGGGCAAAAGATTTGAACAGACACTTCACCAAAAAAGATATAACATGGCAAATAAGCATATGAAAAGAAGTTCCACATCATGTCTCATTAGGGAATGGAAAGTTAAAGCAATAATATGATACCCACCTATTAGAATGGCCAAAATCCAGAACACTAACACCAAATGCTGGCAAGAATGTGCAGCAATGGGAAACTCTGATTCATAGCTGTTGGAAATGCAAAATGGTTCGGCCACTTTGGAAGACAGTTTGGCAGATTTTTACAAAACTAAACATACTCTTAACCATAATAGCTGACAATTGTTCTCCTTAGTATTTACCCAAATGGGTTGAAAACTTATGTCCATATAAAAACTTGCACATGGATGTTAAACTCTACTCATAATTGCCAAAACTTGAAAGCAACCAAGATTCCTTTCAGTAGTTTAATGGATAAACTGTGATACATACAGATAATGGCATGTTGTTCAGCGCTAAAAAGAAATGAGCTATCAAGCCATGAAAAGACATGAAGGAACCTTAAATGCATATATTACTAAGTGAAAGAAACCAATCTGAAAAGGGTATATATCCTATGATTCCAACTCTGTGACATTTTATAAATGAGGAAACTAAGAATTAGAGAAGCTTCATAGTTTATCCAGCATCACACATAAGAGAGTAACAGAGTTGAAATTCAGATCTGACTTCAAAGCAACTGCCTCTTGGTCATTCTATTCTACTTGAACTCAATTTCCTTTATGGTGTTAACCATTTAACACATTACTTCCCTTAAATAATGCAGCTGCATTCTCCTGAGGAGTTCTAGTGCCATGATCCAAAGAGAGAGGCTAATGGTGAAAATTAATGGCTGAGATAGGCAGGCAAGTGAAGGAAAATTACTTTTAACCCTACCTCCCCACACCAATGAAGGCAGTGTTTACAGTCAAAAACACACTTTAGATCTGCTATCTACTAGAAATATCCAGATTTGTGCATATCACAGTTTCGCCCACTCGCCAGTGGCATGTCTCAACTTTCTGTCCCCAGGACCCATTAATCATTTACAGCATGTTGACAGACATTTTAACCAGGAGTCAAGGTGAATATCTCCAGTTATACAACACAAATATATAAAAACTTTGTTTAATCAACAGTGTGTGCAGGTGTGTGTTTTAGAAAGCCTGCATAAAATTATCTGCTGTGGTATACCATAACAAGGAATAGTTTTCACATTCTAACACAATGAAGGTATTCACTGCAGCTCTGCTTTTAATCTTTTCGATCATGCTGCATTATTCCTGTGCTGTGAGTCCCGCAGACTGCAATGCTATTGAGCCCCTGGCTACGAAAGCAGTAGACCTGATCAATATAGGACGTCGGAATGGCTACCTTTTCCAGTTGCTACGGGTCGCTGATGCCCACTTGAACAACCTGGTGAGGAATTGCCAATGGCAGAACTGAGTTGGGAGATCATGCGCCAGGGGCCAATGTGACTCTAGCCCTTAAGCCTAATGCTTTGCACAATGCAATGGCTTTGGTCAGGGTTTTCTGTTTAATTTCTGCTGCTGCTCTAAACTATTTTTTTTCTTTCAGACTAACATTTGTTATTAGTATGTCCTTAACTATGAGTCAGTCTGTAAATACTTAAAAGCACTGATGCTGAGTCAAATCAAATTCTAAGTACCATAAGAGAAAAATTATAATAAACTGTGGGCCTTGCCACCAAGGAAATAATAATCAAGTTGAAGAATAGAGAGAGGTGAGGACAGTACTGCACATATAGATTGAACTTGTGACATGGCTGTCATCACTTGTAATTATAAGCTTACACCTTCAACACCTCCACCTAAACCAACACTGCTATTTGGTGATTGCTTTTTAAAGCTCGTGGGCAGAAACAACATCATGACGAGTTAAAAAAGAACATTTGGAAGTAACTCTTTAAAGCTATTTATTCAAATAAATAGATCAAATGACACAAAGGTAGCCATCTGCAATGATTTGTAGAAGAGCAAGAATTCTGTTTAAGAAATAAAGAGATTGTTTTTACTCACCTGTTGCTTTCTTGGCATTCCTCAGGAATTTGCGACTGTCTATTATTTAGTGTTAGATGTGAAAGAATCTGACTGTCCGGCCCGATCCGGGAAACAATGGGATGACTGTGAGCCAGCTGTTTCCAGACGTCCATCTGATCTAGTAAGTAAACATGGTACCACCCTTCTCTTCTTGTCATTCTTGACTTTTGCCTACTCTGCTTACTCAGGGTAGCTGTATGTATCTGCTAACACAGCAAAAGAGTAAGAGCAGCTTCTGCCTTTTGACTCATAAGGATTATGTTGACCTTGAGTAATATTCTCTTGAGAGCCATACCTGGGAATCCAATTTGAAATAAGTCAGTGGGGCTGTGGTTCCATGGGATAGCATGACCAGCTGTGAGACCTTGGGCAAATCACCTAATGTCACTAGACTCTGTATCCTCAGCTGTAAAATAAGAGGACGGGTTCGGAGTAGATAAACTCTAAGGTCCTTCCTGGACTTGACTGTCTATGGGTGTAGGAACCTATGAACTTGTAATTGTGTCCTATGAAGACTGGTCCCATTAGCAAGAATGGCCAAAAGGGTTAGTTGCAATTACCATGAGAAATGGGGTGTTTGGCACATTGCACATGGGTACTCGGATCCCAGGTTCTCTGCCGCAGGAGGAGAACAAAATTATGAATAAACACAGATCTAAGATTTCAGTTCCAGAAAATAAGACATTTACGTACCTAGGAGTTTCAGCATTTTTCTCCTTTAAAATGTTTGGGATACGGCCATGATCCATTTAAATAGTTTCTTTCTAGTTCTCATGAGAGTTTTGGATGTCTATAGCATCCAACACATAGAAACAGATTTAAAAATTACAGGTTTTGAGACAGGATTTATTGAGAAAAACCACAAATAAATTTTAAATGGACAGTAGGAATACGTTGTATCACTTTTTTTTTCTTCATATTCAAGCTGAGGAAAGCAGTATGCAATGACCAACTCCTCTTTCTTATAGGTGATTGGACAATGTAAGGTAGTAGCTACCACACGTTTGAATGAACCTCAAGATCTTAGAGTGGATGACTTTAATTGCACCACAAGTTCTGGTATGGTAATCTGTTATAATGGTACTTAATTCTAGACTAATATAGAATTCAATTGCACTGTGGTATTTATCATATGATAATTCTATGGTGAACATGTCAGAAAGGGTCCCTGACCTCATGGGTTTAATTACTACTCACTCTCTTGAGAAGAGAGGTGAGACGGTTTTCCCCTGTTATTGGTGTACTTTCCTTTAAAGAAATTCAATACATAAAAATAGAAATCTATGTGAGGCATTATGGCATTATTGTAGAGAACATGGGCTCTGGAGTCAGATTTACTTGAATCCCAACCTCATCACTTATTAGTTGTATGGTCTTGAGGGCAAGTTATTTAACTTCTTTAAGCATTCCTCATTAGTAAAATGAGGATAATAACAGTATTGACCTTTCAGATCTTTGTTAGAATTAAATGACGCGTTCTATCTGTACATTTGCAAAGTATTTAGCACTCAGTAAGTACTGACTTCAACGTCTACAAGTTATGTATTATTACTACAGTTTATAAAGTGGTTATAAATATGTCATCTCATTTAATCTCATGGCAAGACTATGAAGTAAAGATTATGATACTTTCTATTTTAGAAGTGAAATAATTGAGGTTCAAAAAAGTTTAAAGAGTTGGCCTCAGGAACACAGTCAAAATACATGACCTTATCCCACTGGGGTTGACTCTAAATTCCATGTTCTTTAATTTTCTCAAAAAGAATTACCACAGAATTCCTTGAAAAATAGCAAATCTTAATGTGATTCAATATACAAAACTTCACAGTCAAGCAACTCCTTCAAGGAGTTGCCTTAAAGAAAGATTGAGCTGCACCTTCTTCTCTCTCTGGGCAAAACTTCATGTTAATGATGCCTCTCTCTCTTTGGCAGAGGTAGGAAGTGTCCATTAAAATATTAACATTTTAGGAACGATGGGGGAGCATCTTGAATATGGTCACAACAGAGACTTGAGCATCAGAAGGATCTGGATTTAAGTTTAGCTCTGCCATCGATTAGCTGATTTGATCTGGAACAAGTTTCTTAGCTTCTCCAACCCTCAATTTGCCTATCTGTAAAATGGAAGCTATTTTTTGTTCTTGCCACCTGCTTATATGTGTTAAGCCCCAGCATTGACATTGCTGTTTCCCACCCAGTAACCACAAAGCTGCCATCTTCTTTCTCCAGTCTCTTCTGCACTGGCCAATACTAAAGACAGCCCCGTACTCTTCGATTACATTGAGGATACCGAGCTCTTCAGAAAACAGACAGACAAAGCCCTTGAGAAGTACAAAAAAGAGAATGTTGACTTTGCCTCTTTCAGAGTGGACCAGGTGGAGAGAGTTGTGAGAGTGGTAAGTCTTCACTAATGCCCAGCTAGAGTCTGAGGGCCCAGCTCTGACCTGGCAGGTGCAAATTCACCAACTCTTCACTGGCCTAACTGCGCCAACTGCTTTTTACATTGAAGGCCCTGTTGCAGCCTCAACAGACAGGCAGCAGTTACCACAGAGCTGCCCTCCTGCAGTCTTTTACTTTTTTTGGTGTTGTGGAGAGTGTGACTATGCAACAGAGAGAAGGGAAACCCCAAACCAAAAAAAAAAAAGAGAGAGAGAGAGAGATTGAAACAGAAGAACATATTAGGGCTATGTGAGTCATTAAAATCATCTCGTCTTAACCTCCTGATAATATGATAGAAAACTGAGGCTCTGAGCAATTACCTTGCCACATCCAGTGGTGTGGCTGGAGCTAGACAGTTCCTCCCAGTCCAGGGACCCAAGTGTCCTCCACTCAGAGTGACCTTATAGAGTAGCTAGTTGAGTTGTCTTGCATTTTGAAAACACAAAGTTAAATAGATTATGGTGCATACAAGCAATGGGATGAATATAATGCAGTTAGACTGTTTTGGAGATATACACATTGGAAAGAGTTTCAAGATATGCTAAGGGAAAAAGCAGATTACAGAACAATACTTAGACTATGAGCCCCCTTATAGTAAATGATTACATATGTGTTTACATGCACAACACATTTAGAAAAAGGCTAGAAGGAAAAATACATCGAATGGTAAACAGTGGTACCTCAGAGAAAGAAAGATTGGGGTTCAGGAAGGGTGATTTTTCATGCTATGCTTGATTATTTCTATATTATTTGAATCTTTTCAATAAAATAGTATTCACCTTATCACTTATGTAATAAGTTTTAGAAGGCAGAGATCATAAGAAAAATGGCACATATTAGTGATTTTGAATCCTCATAGTCGTTTACAGTATATTGGATAGCAAGTAGCTACTGACTTTTATTTTAATGTTCCTGAAACTGCTTTGATCCAATTTGTTCTAGAGAGGAGAGGAAAGAACCAATTACTATGTGGACTTCTCTGTGAGGAACTGCTCCGCTTACCGTTTTCCCAGGCACTCTAATGTGAGTATACTAGACGTCTGTGAAATACTAGGTAACATTTAGAGGCCACCTACGATGTACCAGGTACCCTTCTAAGTGCTTTACACATATGTTAACCTATTACCTCCACAACTACCCTACGAACCAGATACTATTTTTATCTTTGGTTTACATATGGGGAAACCGAGGCACAGAGAAATTAAGTGAATCGTGAGAATATCACTTTATAAGTACACATGATATATACCAAAACTTAACACTGAGTTATTTAAACTCATTAGGATTAAAGACTTTGCTAAAACTAATAGCTAGATTGTATTAAGAACCATGAGTTCTTTCATTCACTTCATCTCATTTACTCGTCACAGAGACCTCATCTGACAAATGGGAAGGTAATTGAGACTCGGCAAAGTAACAGTTTTGCCCAATGTTCACAATTAAGCTGAATCCATTTCTGTGTTCAACCCACTGGAATTTTTCCCCTAATCACTTATAAACTGATACTCATGTACCTGCAGGAAAGTCTTATTAATTATACTCAGCATTTATATGGTAACTTAAAGTCTACAAAACACCTCCACATATGTATTGCCTTGTTGGGGCCGTGTGACAAACCCATTGAGGAGAAAAAAGTGTCTGCTTCCATTTTCCTGGGACAGAAGGGCCTAGAAGTTTAAACACTTACCCAAGGGCACTTAGATAGAAAGTGGTAGGACACAGGATTTTAACGGTGGACTTCTTATTTCAAGTCCAGGATTTTTCTGGAGTTTAACAACACATTCTCTGGGGCCAGTAGAGAGGAAGCATTCATTAATTCCTTGTCTGGCTGTTCACCTTTTCAACCTGAAGCAGTTCTGGAATCCTGCTTCATGCTACCAGAAAAGACACTCCCGTCCCCCAGCAAACTCTTAACTATCTTGGTGTGGGTAATGAAACCCAGTGCAGAAACATGGAAGCTGGAGAAGAGGAACTCAATGCGAAGTGTTTCACAGCATTATCTCACTTAATTAAGCCCTCCCACAACCTGTGGGTAGATATTATTTTACCCATTTTACAGACAAAGACTGAGTTTCAGAAATTTTGTGCAACTTGTCTAAACTCACGCAACTGGTAAATGATGAAGCCAGGATTAAAATAAGCCTATCTGACTCCAAAACTGTACTCAGAAACTCAGTGCTTAACAGTCTCTTCTAAAAAAGAGTTATCTTCATGTATTAGTCAAACAGTTGAGTTTAGGGACTTCTGGGGTATATGGGTGCCAGCCAGCTGTAGCCTCTGTACTTAGGGTAGGTCCAGCGGACAGTCACTTTGACAGGGTCCTTGTAAACTTTATACTCCTTTCCAAAACTTTCTTCCAAGGAACCAGTTAAAGTTGTACAAATCTCTCTTCTACACCACTCTTAATTCTCTCTAGGCACAGAAAACTTAGGTCTTTGGTGTAGAAGAGTTGGCCTAAAGTCAAGGCATCAATGACATGATATTCCATGAAGCCCAGTGTTGGTGATCACTCATGGAAGAGAACCACAGCGACTCATAAAGAAAACCTTTAGAAGCAGTAATTTTTTCCGAAGTGTTGCCTAGGAAATACTGTTAAATAACTGGTGGAGATGTTTGATAATCCTACCCTGATTTTTCTAGAGCTCTCTCTCCTTTCTAGAATGTCTGAAAGTTTACAACTCTAGCTGGACACCTTTATACCTCCTGCACACATACACTCACACACACACACACTCACACACACACACACACACACACACACACACACACACACACACATTAACAGGCTTCTCTCTTCTTCATAGGTCTTTGGATTCTGCAGAGCAGATTTGTCCTATGATGCAGGAACCTCTGACATGGAAACGCCAGAAGACTTTGTCATAAACTGTGAAGTCTTCAACCTTCAGGTGGGTTGCCTAAGTAGTCCTTATCGTGAGCAGTGCCAGACTAAGTGATATTTTCACACACATAGTGTATTTTGTTCTTATAGTTGTGTGTGTGTGTGTGTGTGAGAGAGAGAGAGAGAGAGAGAAATGAGAGCGATGAGATGGCGGGGAGGGATACGGAAAGACTTGCTCCTGGGGAAAGGAGTACAATTGCTGGTATGACACAAGAAGTATGAAGTTTTTTCCAAGAATTAGGAAGGGGTAAGATTTGGCAGAAAAGTAAAATCATAATCAATTTGATCAACTTTTAATGAATTTGAAAATGGCCCTTGAAGTCAGCACTCCAGTGCTGAGACTTAATAATTTCTAGTTTTATTATTAGGCATAGAATTTAAGGGAAATGAATTAGCCTCAAATTTATCATATAAGATATATAAAATAAGATGAAAAACAATATTTTATAAGAATATCTGTGTGTAGAAACTTTTGTTCTACACACAGATATTCATCACAGTATTTTTTATATCAGCAAAAAGAAAAAAACGAAAACAAAAAAACCTGAAAATAATCCAAACATCCATATGCCAAACCAAAAAAAAGAGGAAAGATGGACAGATTTGTTACCATGAACATGGCCACATAGATTTTTTTTTTTAATTAAAATCTGAACAAGGAGGGTAAAGAGGTAAAATGCTCGTCCTTTAGAAGTAGAGATGCTTACACAGATGCCTCAGAACTCTGTGAGAATCTAAATTATAAGGTACTAGTTTTCCGAATGTTGGTCTATAGATAATTATCATTTTACAATATAATTTTACCACTGTATGTTGAAATTATAAAAATAAAGATAAGAAAAGTTTTTATAACATTTTTCATTTAAAGGACCATCCTTTACTCAGAGATTATCTTTCTGACTCTTGTGTTATCAAAATATCATTACTGCTGTGAAGTAATGATGGTGGTAGATGATAATTTTTGTTTGTATTTTAAATGTCAACTTGGTTAGATAAAAACCTGAGAATCTTCTTTTGGTGTTCTAATTTTAAAATTGATTTGTTGAATTCAAAAGTACAGGAGCCATTGCTCTAATTCAAGTTAAATATCTAACTTCTTTTGTGTTACACAATGGTATTCACTTTTCTGTGTCCTTTGCCAGGAACATAGAAATTTCAGTGATGCGCCACCCCATCTGGGCCATCCCTTCCACTCTGGTGGGCATGAGCATTCTCCATTTAAGCCCGGTGGATCCAGAGATTATCACCATCCTCACAAGCCACATAAATTTGGATGCCCACCTCCTCTAGAAGAGAAAAGTCACCCAGGCAGACCATTGTTTCAAGCAGGAGCTCCTCCACCATTGCCCCCTCCAAGATGTCATCACCTCCATTTTGGCACCAATGAGACCCATGTACCCCCTCATAATCATAGTTCCAATGAGCACCATCCCCTTGGGCACCATCCTTATAAGCATCATCCCCATGGACACCCTCCCCATGGACACCCTCCCCATGGACACCATCCCCATGGACACCCTCCTCATGGACATCATCCCCATGGACACCCTCCCCATGGACCCCCTCCCCAAGCATCATCCCCATGGACCCCCTCCCCATGGACACCCTCCCCATGGACACCCTCCCCCTGGACCCCCTCCCCACGGCCACGATTTCCATGACTATGGACCCTGTGACCCACTACCCCTTAGCCAAAGTCCCCCAGATCACCATCGTTGGGGCCATGGCCCACCACCTAGGCACTCAGGAAAAAGAGGTCCAGGTAAAGGACACGGTCCCTTCAAGTGGAGACATGTTAAATATATCTACCGACTCCCGCCACTAATGAAAGGCGAAGTTCTTCCTCTTCCTGAAGCCAATTTTCCCATCTTCTCATTGCCAGACCGCAGGAATCCTTTAAAGCCAGAAATTCAGCCCTTCCCTCAATCAGCCTCTGAATCATGTCCAGGGGTGTTCAACAGTGAGTTTCCACAACTCTCACAGTTTTTTGCATATACATTTCTAAAAGAAAAATCTGAGTTCCCTGAAAAATGAATAATGTTCTGAATTCGAACCATAAATAAAATGTAACCAGTAACAAATGAAAATTTAAAAGTTATTTAAACCTTACTTTCACATTCAGGATGGGGCAAAATGCGTGTGAGAGAGGAGACAACATGAGAAAAGACAAGTGGAGAGAGGGAAGATCTCAGTGCCACAAGTCGGAAGTTAATTCTCTCACTGGCCAATAAACCACTTGAGGCACATCTCTGATGCCCTGAAGGTCATTATTTCCTGGAATTAACTCCTTTAATTCTAGCAGCTTTCCTCTTGGTACTTATGCTGTAGCTGGGCATACCAAGAAGGCATGTATTTATCACATAAAGGATTACTCTTATAAAAGTGATCTAAATTCTTTCCTACTTCTTATTTCCAGTTCTCTACATTAATTTTTGAAAAAATAAGTTCTAAATTTAATTATGAAGCAAACAAAGCTTAGGCTATAATTTGCAAAGAAGTTTACAGGCATGAATCATGCCCATAAATTCAGAGGCACCAGAAATATTACTTTATTTTCAGAACACATTAATTTCTATTTCAGATCGTCATCCTACTAGGATAAAATGAAACTTAACCTCAGTCCTTCTTGGAGTTCCTCTATCCTGCTGCTTCCCACATAAAGTTGTGCCACAGTCCAAGACTCTCACATAGTGTCAAGGTGTTTGGGTGGTGGGTACAAGAGGAGCCTGATTCTTCACCACTGGTCCACCAGGTCCCCCTGCTGCGGGATGCTTACTACCCTGTTCACATCATTCTTTGTCTAAGTTATGCGCTATTTCTATTTCCAACTGGGAATATAAGAGTCTCTGTAAGACTACTGATGGACATGTCTGCCCAGAGATATCACATGGCTTTTCTCTTCCTGGGATCCTGCTGCCTTTTAGGCTATATGTCCAGAAAGCAGAGCAAAGGTGTCCTCTGCTTCCAGACCTCCACTCCTCTCTGTTCTTCTCCCAGGCTAGGGGACTCTCGAGTCTCAGAAATTTCTCTCTATTCATTTTTCGATGCCAGGGGACTCTTTTGTTACATTTGAATCACCTTTCTTTTCCCTTCTTTCCAAATCAACCTTAAGCATTTAGACACAAGCTAATAAGACTTTAGATTCTCTCTACCTAACTTACTGAAGCAGTTTCAGGTAAGTGGTAATGGCAGAAGGTAGATTCTAACCGAGGGGAGTGTGAGGGGGAAAAGCTAAGGATGAAAGAGATTTGTATAAGCTCTTAGGCTGGGAAGAAGGAGGGGCCCACAATGATGGAGAAGCTGAAGGTAGGAGAATGAAGACATAACTGATGATGGAATGGTCCAAGAGAAGTGGAAAGGAGCACAAGGCTGATCGTGGCGGGTATTTCGAGTGAAGATTCAGCAACAGGACTTGGAGGAAGGTGGTCAAAAGATGCAAACTTCCAGTTTTAAGATAAATAAAAACTAGGTACATAATGTACAACATGGTGACTATAGTGAACACTGCTGTTCGACACACAGGAAAGTTGTTAAGAGAGTAGACTCTAAGAGTGCTCATCACAAGGAGAAATTTTTTTCTTCTTATCTTATCTTATAAGACAATTAATGTTAACTAAACCTATTGCAGTAATTTTATAATATATGTAAACCAAAGCATCATGCTATATACCTTAAACTTATATGATGTATGTCAATTATTTCTCAATAAAACTGGAAAGAAAATAGAACTTGGCCATATATACAGGCAGTGTAATGAGTAGGAAAGAATCTGACTTGAGAGGAGGCCAATCTGGATTCTAATCCTGGTACTACAATTTATTGATTATAAGATCCTAAGAAAGTAATTAAACCTCTTTGGGTCTCTTCTTCCTTCCCTAAAAAATTGGCGTTGGTAGCAGCCCATATCCCTTTCCTCCTTAGAGTACAGCTAGACTTCATTTCTTGGAGCCACACGATAATCCCCCAAATATTTAATAACCAATATGGCACAAGCACTGACCAGCGAAAGCAAATACAACAACCGGTCAGAACAGGCACCAGCCATAAACAATCAGCCCTGCAGAATCACATTCCTTCACGGAGATGTGAACATAGGTTTGGCTGCTTGGATAAAGAGGACAGAAAGAACAAATTCAGGAAGACAAACAAAACAAAAACAAAAAAACCACAACAGTTTAATAATTTACAGAAGCATTTGAGTAGTGTTTTATAATTTATAAAGTACTTTCACAAACATTGCTTGAGTTATTGGAAATAATACCTAGAAAAATAGGATTGAAAGTTCAGTTAAATACATTTATAATATGCAAACAAAGTTGCTGCAGGTGAATAATGGGGTAAGAAACAATCCCTACTCTAGGGAGCTTACATTGTGCTAGAGGTTTAGACAATATACCATTGATTGCACCTTTTCTAGATTTTTTGTTATAGATAGCTAAAAAAGTGTATGAACGTTTAATGTTTGTTATAGTCAGTAAATTGTGGGACTGGGATGAGAACCCAAATCAGCCTCCTCCAAAGTCACATTCTTTCCTGCTTATTATACTGCCTATATACTCTGCCAAGTCCTGTTTCTGAGTTTTCACTTGAAACACCTGCCGTGATCAGCCTTGTGCTCCTTTCTAACTCCTCCTGGAGCATGCACCATCGGTCGTGCCTTCACTCTCCCATCTTCAGCTTCTACATCTTTGTGGGCCCCTCCTTATTCCCAGCCTAAGGATTTACTCAAGTCTCTTTCACCCTTAGTTTTACTTCCTACACCCTTACCACCACCACCACCACCACCACCACCACCACCCACCACACACACACACACACACACACACACACACGAATCTACCTTCTGCCATCACCACGCACCTGAAACTGCTTCAGTAAGTCGGGGATTCTTAACCATCCCACTCTAATATTAGATATAATTTATAAGAACTAATTACCAGGCCCTGTACCTTTTTCTCATTCACTCCTCAAAAAATCTAGTTAAGGTATTGCAATTTTTCACATTTCCAGGTGAGGAAACTGAGGCTCAGAAAGGCTATATGACCCTGACTTGTTCAGGATCACATAGCAATTAAGTAACAGAGCTAGATTGCAATCAAGGTTAGACTTCCTGCTAAACACATGTTCCTGCCACTCTGCTACAAGGCCACCATTCAGCCCACACTGACCCCTCCTTCTTTCAGAGGCTCTTGGGAGATTGAATTGCCAAGCTAGAGTCCCTATCAACAACAACAAAGAAGCCAAACATCTTTTGGGGGTGAGGAGAGGCTAGGACTTGAAAGCAAGCATCTACTAAGAGCTAGCCCACATCTTGAACCCACCCTTAGACCTCCTCTCCCTCAACAGTCGGACTTTATAAGGAAGGTCACCTAGGTTTGGTGAGTGAAGGACCCCTACATCGACCAAAGCAGAAACAAAAAGCAAGGACAGGGTAAGCAGGGCATAACTCAGCCCATATCTTCTTACGCTTCTCACCTGTCTCCTCCACCCTGGGGAGCACTTTTCTTTCTACAACTAACACAATTGAATGGAAAGAGGCTGGCTTGGCCAGAGACCCGATTGGATGCCCACCTTTCAGTTTCAGTTGTGCTAATGTCCTGGTGTGAGACTCTCTGTACTCAGTGTGTCCCTGTGCATAGGTTCCCCAGGCATGCAATAGGATTGGTAGCAGCCTGCTTCTCTGCAGCTAGATATCTTGCAAAGAAATTTTATTGAAAGATGTCTGCGCATTGTTGCATTGTTGTCACATGTAGTGACCCTCATAAATGGCTTTGGGCAAGTCATTTGGAAAAGAGAATAACAGAGGTGGTTGGTGTTTTTTTCTCTTCCTTTATTAGATTCTGCTCTGATTTGCTATATGGAGTTATGTAATTACCTGGAAATGTGTTCTGTGCTCCCACTTGCTTCCCAAATACAAACAAACAGGTCACAACCCCAGTGTTGTAATGTTTCAACCTGAAATCTGCTTAGATAACCCAGCAGAGTCATTTGTCCCTTTCAAACAGGGCAAATAGTGTATATCCAATCAGGGCCCTGGAGTGCTGAGGCAGAGGAGATAAAAGTCTGAGAAGAGTTAAAATCAGCATCCAAGTTGGCTCCCCATTCTTGCTGAAACTCCCAGAGGGAGACTGTTAAATCATGAAGTTAACTGCCATCCTTTTCCTTTGCTCCATGCTGCCGCTAAGTATAACCCAGGAGTACCACTCGCAAGAAATCGACTGCAATGATGAGGATGTATTTAAGGCTGTGGACGCAGCTCTGAAGAAATATAATGATAGAAACCAAAGTGGCAACCAGTTTGTATTGTATCGCATAACTGAAGTCACCAAGACGGTGAGTGAGGCGTGTTTAACCTTGAGGTTGTTTGGGATTACACACACACAATCACCAAAGAACTGATAATCAAAGGTAGAAGCTTACAGCTCTTAATAAAGACCACTCTCTGGCCTAGGACTGCAGGGCAGGGTATGACTAGTCCTCGGGCCACCAAGGTTGCCTTCCTCTGAGATCAAAGGAGTAGTATCCTATGGTGAAATTAAAGAAAGGTGGATGGAATCATTTGAAAGGGACTGTGCAGTGTGAAATAACCCAGGAACTCAGGCCTCAGCAAAAGGGTTTACTAGATGAGCAGACTTAGACTCAAATACAAAGGTCTCTAGACCTCAAATGGGGAGGGGAATGCTTAAGAGGGTAAATCTAACAAATACTGTATGTGTATGATCTCACTTATAAGTAGAATCTAAAAAAGTCAAATTCACAGAAGCGGAAGGTAGAATGGTGGTTGCCAGGAGCTATGGAGTGGGAGAAATGGGGAGATGTTGGTCAAAGGATACAAACTTTTGATTACAAGATGAATGGGTCCTGGGGATCTAATGTACAGCATGGTGATTAGAGTTGATTATACTGTAATGTATACTTGAAATTTGCTAAAAGGCTAGATCTTAAGCAGTCTCACCACACACACACACACACACACACACACACACACACACACACACACACACAGATAGTTGAGGTGATGCTGTGTTAGTTAACTTATTTGTGGTAATCATTTCATAGTGTCTGTATATCAAATCACCGTTGTACACTTTAAATATATACAATTTTTATTTGTCAATTATACCTCAATAAAGCTAGGGTAAAGTGTGGGGTATGTCTATGAAGAGTCAGAAATGAGATTAACATGATTCTACTGCATTAGACAAAATACCTACCATGAAATCCACATGGCTGAATGCATCAAGGATAACAGCAATGTTCTAGTTGGTTTTTAATATTTTTTAATCACTTACTGATGCACTCGGGTTGAAGACAAATCCTGACAGGACATGTGATTCCAAGAAATACAAATCTTTCAATAGTTTAAATGAATTTCACTGTCTCTGAGATGGTTAAACAATTGTTTACTTCAGTGGAAAAAAAATCCAGCCATTCGACATGATGAGATTAAAGAAAAAAAACCCAGTGGACATTTTTTTTTTTCCTGAAAGTAAAATCGAGCCATTCTGTTTCACAAACTGGTATAGTCATGTGAGTCCTGGGGCCCTCAGCAACATTTTATTGGTGCTATCTTCATTGGCTGACATCTGTGGCAAATGTGTGTGTGTGTGTGTATGTGTGTGTGTGTGTGTGTGTGTGTGTGTGTGTGTGTGTTTCCTAAAATGTCCATAGAATCTTAGCTATGTGGGCATTGTCTATATCACACCACTACTTTATCGAAATCTGAGATCTAGAAGGAACCTCAGAAACTATCTAATTTGACTGTTACCGGAACAAATGGGGTCTGTCTTCCTTTGCTCACCTGAGTCAAAGAAGAGATATGTGCAGGTTTTGCAGCAAAGAAAGTAAGGTTTATTTTAGAGAGTTGCACAAGTCCTGGAGACACAGGTGAGCCAATGCTCTCAACAACCTGCTCCCCTGCACGCCCCCCCCACCTCCCACACACACCTAAGGCTAAAATGTTATCCTTAGTGTAACTGAAATGTATTGTTCTCATGATTATAGACCTAAGGCTTAATGATTAAAGGAGCAGGCATACAAAGGAGAAGGTTGAAAAAAGCAAGTAAGTCACTATGCCATTATCTGGGCAAAACTAGCTTGAATCAGAAAAAAACTGTATTAAAGAAATGAAATTTGTGTGCAGTTATAACTCTATCATCTCCCAGATGCAAATATTCTGACCGGCACAGACTCTGAGAGAGTCCTGCCCCACAAGTGAAGAACCCTAGGATCTGGGTTAGCTCTGCCTTTCCAAAGTGGGAGGCTGCCTAAACTATGCTCCATCTACTTGGGGAGGGGGGCTCCTTTCTCTCACCTGCAAAGTGAAGGGCTGGACAACAAGACCTGCCAGGTCCTTTTGCTGCTGCACATGCCAGAATTTTGCTTCTGAAAGTTCATCTAACTCAGCACCTTTGCACTTTAAAAGTCTTATTATTTCATGACATGCTAGAAAGAAACAGAAAACAAAACAAAGCAAATAAAAATACTAGAATTACCCACAACTAATCACACCATCCAGAGATAACTGTTAACATTTTTTTTCAAAAATGAAACAAGCCCAGGAGTGGGGAGGAGGAAGGTAGACAGGGGAAAAAAATTAAATCATTTCTTCAATTAAATAAATAAATAAAAAAAAACAAGCCCAGGAGAGGGGAGGGGGAAGGTAGACAGGGGAAAAAATTAAATCATTTCTTCAATTAAATAAAAAAATAAAAGAAATAAAATTAAAAAAAAGAAAAAACCCTCTTGTTTGTTTACTTTCTAGTTGTACAAGTAATATGTATTTGTTTAAAAAAATACTCAGATAATTCAGGAATGTTTGTTTAAAAAAGAAAGGCAAAGATAACTGTACGCTCACCATTGATAGACATTTTAACAGCTTTGCTGAGTGACTTTCCAGACTTTTAAAAATCATGTACGCACATATAAATCGGATACTACAAAAATAGGCTAATACTATGGATAATACTTTGTAACTCAAAAAATATATTACGAACATTCTTCTAAGTAAACATTTATATCTTTCATCATTTTTAATAGATGTTTTGCACTTGTTTAATTAAATCGAGATCAAATATTCATAACCCTACATATCTCTGATTGCTTTTTTTTTTTTTTTTTTTTAGGAAAACCCTGACATATTTTATTCCCTCAAGTACCAAATCAAGGAGGGTGACTGTCCTGTTCAAAGTGGCAAAACCTGGCAAGATTGTGACTACAAAGATTCTGAACAAGCTGTAAGTGTGCTGACATTTTGGAGCCTCCAGTTTTCTCCATTGAGCCTGCCAGATTTTTTTACTAGTGCTGGGGACAATGAATAATATTGTTGAGTCTTTTTGTGAGGGATACACATAAACCCTCAAATGTATAGAAAAGTCGAATGCTTTATGTCTGGGTACTTGCGTAGACAGAAGGGGCGTGGAGAGGCTAGCTGTTAAATGTGGAGAAAGCCCTCCCATGAGAAGAGAACTCCAACGACTATTTGGGACAAGTGGACCCAGAGAGACTACAGATCAATACTTGGGCCAAGACTGAGGGCTGGTAAGGGGAGACAATGGGAGCTTCCATTGCACAGGTCTGAGTGTGAATCCTAGTCTGCCTCCAACTGGCTGACCACTCTGAACCCAAGCACTCCCTTTAGAAGGAAGATAAAATTGGCCTTATCTGCTAGGAGGGTAAAAGTAGATACATTATGTAAAGGTCCCTGTTTCAATAACAATGGCTATCCTAACTAAATGCCGGACATCAGCTTGCCCCACCACCGCTGGTTATTCGGCCTTAATTAAGGCAGACTACAGAAGGTATCGGCTAGGAAAGCAAGCCACTTTTTCCACAGTCCATGGATTCACTGCTTTAATGTCAAAACACCGGCATCCTGTTTGCAGTTCGAACACTGAAGTTGAAAGGTAAGTCAAGAGAAGAGTTTAGCAGGCTAGTTCTAGGGCATTGTGTCCATTTGGGTGGAAAAGAAATATCTCCAGGGCTTAACCAAAAAACTTTTACTTTAAAACCTCACCATTGATGCTGCCTCTTCTCCGATGTCTCTTGAATATCAGTGGCTTATAAATAATATTCATTAGGCTAAAAAAGCATTCATTCTGTGTCTCAAAACTCTGTTAGAAAAAATCTTGACAAGTTTTTTAAAAAGAAGGAAAGTTATATTTAGCAACAGAACTAGATGCACTTTTCCATTTGAAAGATTAAGATAAATGTTTTAGCTGGTTGTTGTTGTTGTTGTTGTTGTTGTTTAGGCCACAGGAGAATGCACAGCAACTGTGGGGAAGAGAAAGAAAATGAAATTCTCTGTGGCTACCCAGACCTGCCAGATTACTCCAGGTAGCTGACACATCTGGTGGTGGTGCCTTGGGGGAAAAGGAACCATTTCTGTGTGGGGCCAGGAGCACAACATAGAAGAAGCCCCTCCAGAGGGCAGTGGTAGGGAAGCCATTTGCAGCTTTGGAGTGGGGGAGGGGAAGAGCAGCAGAGTCCTGAGGCTGGGGCCAGGCTCCCGCCAGTCATCTTCTCAGCACTATCCAGATTCTCTTCCTGAGAGTGGTACTGTAGTAGGTGTGTGCCAGGGCCCTGTGAAAGGACTAGAAGACATAAGACCTGCCTTCAATTGTAGGCAGCATCCTAGAGTGAGAAAAGCACAAGCTTTGAGGCCAGACCTGGCCTGGAATCTTTCAAAAGCTCTTCATCTTTTTCGGCTTCTCTTTTATCTATAAAAGAGGACTGCAATAGTTCTTGCGCACAGCATTTTTGTAGATTGAAACTAGATGATACCCCTGAAGGTATAATCATAATAATGTACTAATGATAATCAGGATAAAAGTAATAATAGCTAACTTTATTGAGCACTTATAGCCAGGCACAGTTCTAGTCGCTTTACATGTATTAACTTATTTAATTCTCACAACAGTTCTGTGAGGCAAGTATTAATATCCCCATTTTACAGATGAGGAAATGCAGGCCCAACAGTGTTAAGTATTTTGCCTGAGATCTCACGGCTAGTCATGAACAGAACTGGTATAGTAGACTCTCTAAGTATGGAGCAACTCATGAACAGATGTAACCCCGTTAGCTCCTTCCCTCTTGTGGCAGAGGGGCTGGGTACAGAAAAATGGGCACATCTAGGTGACATCAGTCGTAGAAGCCATCCCAGATCTGGCCTTCTACAAGATAGAGTTTTAGTATATGAGCCTCCAGAACGGTATTTTCAGCTACTCTCTTGAACCTCACCAGAGTGGCAGTTGTTCTATTCTGGATTTAGTAATCTGTACGGAACCCACAAAAACTATATTTCTTGAGTTTCAGCTCTTGCAAGAAGTTGCATCCCCCCAAAAAACAGTCCAAAACAGAAAAAAAATCACAAGTAATTAAAATTCTTTTCCTTGGAGTAGCTTTTTATTATTCAGTGTAAGAACTCTATCTCACAAGCAAATTTTCACATTATCCAGAACACAGCACTTATATACTATGAGAAAAAAAGCTCTTTGCCACACCTTCAGAAATTACTACTAGGTCCACAGTCCCTCATCTGAAACCTTTTTAGTCAAATGGGTTTCAGAATTCAAAATTTTAAATCTTTATTTTAATTTTTAAAAATCTTTCCAGA